GGTGGAGTGGGGTGGGGGTGGGGGTAGAGGGTTAGAGGGTGGTCCTGAGGTGGAAGGTGGGGAAAGAGAACCCAGAAATAGCAACCAATCCGGCCTGTGCCCGATGATCGGCCCTGTGGGTGGCTGGCAGCCAAGCAATTAGTGCCTTGTGAAAAGAGAGGAACAGAGAATAGAATTGGCCCCTGCTGGTATCCCGACACCCAGTGAGCCAGCTCAGGTCCAAAGTCCACCCTGAGTCCAAGTCCGAGGCAGAGTGGCTCCTTCACTCACTCCCACAGGGCTGGAGACTTGAATTTTAGCTAAATACTTATTTCCCCTCAAATTACATAACCACCATAAAATGGTTTTCTGAGGAGCCCTTCTCACCTGCCAGGCTTTTCTCCCTGAGTTCCAAGGAGCAGCTGGACCCCCTCACCACCCCAGTCCCTGGGACAGCTGTCACTGCCCATTGCTCCCCCGGTTGCAAGTCTCCTGTGGACTGTTAGACATGAGCTGAGGCCAGGTACAGAAAACAGGGCAGAAACTCACCAGGGCAGAAAGCCCCGGATGCCTAGCAAGGGGCCAAACTGGGAAAACAAGACCCTTGTCCCCAGGGGCACCTGTCCTCCCCCAGCATATTTCTGGTCATACGGTTTAGACCCCCTGAGCTTTCCTCCCTAAAGATAACATCTAGGCCTCAGTTGTATTTCAGCTCCAGGCCTGGAAAAGCAGCAACACCAGACAGGAGGTGCAGAGGCTGCCTTAGGTCCAGCTGCATTGACTAATGACCCTGCCCTGGCGCCCACCGATCAGCGGAGACCACGACCCTGAAAGGGTCCACCTGGAAAGCTGATGGATATTCTGGGACCTCCCCCTTCTTCCACCTGCAAGAAGGAGATAAATAAGCTCAGGACAAAGGACCCAGTGCGCGCTCCCCGCCAGCGGAGCAGGCCAGCGCCGTCTCCACCCCCCTTCTTCCTGACTCGCAACCAGGGGAGCAATGGTCAGCGGCAGCTTGTCCTGGGCTCACCCCTGAGCCTGTCTCCAAGGCCCCTGCTCTCTCTGACTCCTCCGTGAGCCCCAGCGGCCCAGCCCGGGCTCTCCTGTTGCCTCGTCTGTGCTCTGTCTTGTTTCACTGTCCTAAGTATATTTTTGCTGACCTCACGGGCCCAATACCCTTTGACTCAGTGCTGTGTAGCCCTTCCCTTTGGATAGCCCCATCCCCCGTTCCCTTTTCCTTAAATTTAATTTTTCTTTATTCACCATCTCAGATGACTATTTAGCCACAGACCTTAACCTTTCAGGGCCTTAGAGTTTGGGAGATGCACGCCTGTGGGGACAGGAGGGGGGGAAGGGAAAGGCTGGGAGTTTAGGGGATGCCTTAGGGAAGGATCTCAATAGAATATTCGCCAGCTTTTCCAGGTGGGCCCTTTCAGGGTCATGGTCTCCACTAATTGGTCAGTGCCAGGGCAGGGGGTCATTAGTCAGTGCAGCTGGTCCTAGTGTCACCTGCCTGGCTTTGCTGCTTTTTCTGAGCCTGAAGCTAAAATTTAACTGAGACCTAGATGCTATCTCTAGGGAGTAAAGGTCAGGGGTCCAAACCCCATGACCAGCAATATACTAGGGGAGGAAATGCCACCCTGGAGGCAAGGTCTGGCAGCAAGTTTTACCCATTGCTAGGCCCCTGAGGCTTCCCACCCTGGTGACCCTGGCTGTAAATTGCTCGGCTGGTTTGTTCAGCTGTCTCAGTTTCCCCATTCCACCTGCCAAGGAATTTCCCTAGCTTCTTAATAACCCGCCTCACCTTCGCCCATCCTCAAGAGGTCAGATCAGAAAGTCCTGGGCTATGTTAGGAACCCGTGAGGGGGCTTGAGGTCACTTCACGGGATGCTGACCGGACCCCTCTTTGCAGATGGAGGGAGCCCAACCCCTCCTCTCCCAGGTCTGCATGTCAGCCCCGGAGGACGTCCGGGCCTGGGAGTTTCAGGATTTGAGGAGTGGGCGGAGGAAGGAAGTTGAGAGTGCGGGCAGGGCTGTGTAGGCGCTTCCAGCAGGGTTTGGGCAGGGTTTCTGCGGCCTCGCCTCCCGGTCTTTCCCAGCCTTGAGCCTCTGAGGCAGTAACCTGGGATCTCTGACCAGAGGGGGCTGAATCTGGCCAAACAGGGCACCTCAGCGGGAGGTGGAGGACTTTGTTCTGAGGGACAAATCTCAGAGGCACAGATTTCAGAGTGAGGGAGTCACGCGATGAAAAATCACACGCAAGGAGGGGGGCTGGGCAATCGGGGTGACAGAGAGGAACCAAAGCTGGGTCCAGCGGTGGGGGCCTGGGTGACTGGAGCCATCAAAGCGTTTCAGAGACGGAAGTGACCCGGAAGATTTCACCCTGCGTAGGCATTTGAAAAAAGAACCCGACTCAAGGGCACGCAGCTAATTAGGGGCAGGGGCAGGACATGAACTCACATGTAAGAGGGGGGTGATCTGAGGCAAGAGGTGAGAGAATGAATTTCCCTCCGGAGTAATCGGGTTGGGGTGTACTGGGATGTGTATGAGTGGAGAAATCCACCAGGCAGTGAAAACGGGGGGCTGGCGCCCAGGGAGCTGTCGGCCAGGATTTGCCAATCATCATCATAGATTAGGGGACACGGTTGGAACCCCGTGGGGCAGTGTGTGGGGACAAGAGGGCAGAAGCCCCAAGACTGAAGCTTGGGGTCCAAGCCCAGGACCCAGGACAAGGGGCAGTCAGAGGTGGGAGGTGGCCCAGGTGTGGACACGGTCAGTGCTGCCCAAGGGCCTCCCCAGCCCCGCTGTGGCGTATTAAAGGTGGCTGCAAATCCGTTGACCCCTCCCCACTGAGATGTGGGGCTTTGCTTCCTCCCCTTTAATCTGGGCCCCAGGCTCTCACTGATGTTCCCATAGACTAAAGACGGGCAGCCCCAACTTCCTGACGCTGGGAACACTCGCCCTTGGAAGCAGCCACACTGTGGAGCCCCCAAAAGCCCTTAGCATGGTCCGAGGAAGAGGAATCGGGCTCTCACCTCCGCTGTGCCCTGCTCACGTGAGCTTCCGAGCTAAGGTTTGGGGTGGTTTGTTACACGGCAGTATCCATTCTCTTCAAGTGCGTGGTGGGTGGTGGGGGCCCATCGGAGCTCCCCTCTCCCACCTCCCTCCTTTCACTTCTGTCTGGACCCGCACTGGGCTTACAGCTCGATTGCAGTTAGTGCCGAGGGTGGCCCAGGCCTCTGTGGGGGTCAGGTATGGGGAGTGACCACCCGGATGGGTCTCACGTTGCCTCAACAAGAACAGAACAGGACAAGCTCTGGCCTCTGAGTGACCCACTGGCAGCCCAAAGCCCAGCTCCCTGTTACTGTCAACACAGAGAAGACAGCATCTGCTGAGCCCACGTTGAGCCTGTCAGAGAACCTGTGGGACATTTGGGGACTCATCTGAACCATGCGCAAAGAGCCAAAGCATTTAAACAACCCAATGGCCCCCCTTTTTTGGTACATTCGTTTATTTAAAAAAGAATAGGAAAAAAAATGGTACCTAAAAAGTATCTACAACAAATAAATTATTCCCAGTTGAGCATCCGCACAAACCAGTCTGCTACTGCCGACCAAGGCCACATCCCACGGACCTAGGCTTTCGCCGCTTCTCTTCCTTACGGCTTTCCCTCCTGAGCATGGAGATGGTTTGGCCTGAGCCGGGCTCCTCACAGGTGTGGCAGGTGGGCACGAGGGCAGCCGGGGCAGTGGCAGCCCCAGCGTGGGGGGCACAGCGCTGCACATGTAGGTTTCAACAAATGCGCCTGCCTGGTTGCCGGTGGCCCTGAAATATTTTACATATGTGGGGCCTGGGCTTTAAAGAGCCATGGGTAGGGCTCTGGCCAGTGTGGCTCAGTGGTTGAGCGCTGGCCCATGCACCAAGAGGTCACTAGTTTGATTCCTGATCAGGGCACATGCCCGGGTTTCGGGCTCAATCCCCAGTAGGGGGCATGCAGGAGGCAGCCAATTGGTGTTTCTCTCTCCCTCTCCTTTCCCCTCTCTCTCTCTCAAAAATCAATAAAAAACATTTTAAAAAAAAGAGCCATGAGTACGTGGGGTTGGCACCTTCCAGGAGGCCTACCTTCCGGTGAAATCCACCTGAGGTCTCAGGCAGACAGCAAATTGGCCTACAGTTTTGCGCTCTTGGTTAAAAGAAAGTGGCCTTGTGGAACCCTGGTCATTAAAGGTGTGTGTGATGTGTGTGATGACCGCCACGCCAAAGATGGCCCGCCACACTTGGGGCGGAAGGCAGAGCACCAACCCAGAAAACCTCAGGAGAGGCCAGGAGGTCGGGGAAGGCAGAGAATAGAGGGCCGGGGCTCCACCAGCGATCTGCAATAACGATGCAACATCAGGCGAAGGAAAGAAGCCGCAGCTTTGCTCCAGCCCTTCATCTCCGGCCAGGAGGCCAGGGGTAACTAGGCGGGAGCCAGCCTTTCAGAAGGGAAAGGTGCCATCAGCCACGCCAAGGGCACAGTGAAAAACAAGACAAAACACCCCCAAAACTCTTCCTTTGGAAAGAGTTCGAGAGGCCTTAGAATACACCCCATTAAGGAGACGCAAAGCTCCTTTCCGAGGAGGCACCATAGCACGCGAGCAGGCCGGCCGCCGCGTTTCCGAGGGGAATTCACTGAACTCGAGTGCGCTCATTTCTCAAAGGAGGTTTTGCCACAGAAATACTGAACTTTGGACTGTGCCGACAAGCCATAATGCAGTCTGGCCCCTCCCACGGGAGAGCAGGGGCCACAAAGGCAAACAGCCACAGGAGCTGGGCCGGTCCTTACGGTAAGTGAGGGGTGGGGCTGTGTGCAAGAAAACTTCCCTGAAACACACGCCAGCCTCCAGGCCTGTCTTCTCATTTGACACGAGATATAGGTCCTGAACTTTACATTTCATTACGAGAGAAGCAAGTCTGCTGGGGAACTGATCAAGGGGAACTGATCAAGACCATGAGCCTCAGTGTGGGAGGCGACAGGGAGTGGTGGGGACTGTGGTGAACTGGTAGGCCAGGTGCCCCAGCTAAAGGTGGAGCTGCTTCTCCACGCAGCCAGCTGTCGCCGGGTGAGAATGTGAGCCCCGGCGCGGCCAGATCTGACGATCTGGATTGTTATGTAAACATTTTATCATTTTAAATGTTAGAGTCAATTCTGAAAAAAGATTCTGTTGGCTAAACAAAGCACACCTGTGGGCTGGATCATTTTGTAGTCTCTCGGGCAGTGTCAGGAAGGTGTGGCAGGCAGAATAACAGCCCCCCAAAGAGGTCCCCATCCCAATGCAGGGCTTGTCGCAGCCCTGTACTGGGTGACTCGCACTTCGCTCGCACTGCGGGCTGGTTTACAACCCAACCTAAGTTTAGAAGGACATGAGCTGCGATTATTGTATCCAGACCAGGATTCATCATTTTCAACGTCTTCTTCATTGGAACGAGTCCACTTGGAAATCAGAAGTTGGTGGCGTCCAGGAAAACCTCCTGCTGTTCCTTCCATAGAATTCCTCCTCCTTAGGACTTCTGATGGGCCCCCTACAGGGTGTCCCAGTGCCCTGATTTATGCAAAGTCTTTGGGATGGGTCCGAGTTATTCCCCAATCTCCACTGGCTCGTGGGCGTCCAGTAAAGGAATGTTTGTGTTTTCGTTGCTTCTGGTCCCCTTGGTGGGGTGGGAGAAGGTGTACGGTTCACTCTCAGACTCAGGACTGAAGTCAGGGGATGGCTCCTCTGTGGTCAGCTTAGCAGTCGGGGCTCTGGAAAATGGGAGGGTTGGGGAGGGAGGGCAGTCGCCCATGGGGCCCTGGAAGGGCCGGTAGGTGTCTACCTCAGGCTGGATGAAGCACCCGTGGGAATCCTGCAGCAGATGCCCATACACCAAGGTGTCATCGATGACGGCGTACACGTGGTTATCAGTGTCCTTTTGTACTTTTGGAAACTTCTGGGGCCGCATCGGTATCTGGGTATTGATGTTGCCATTGTAGACGTCTACGGCAGGGCGCTTATGCATCTTCTTTTTCCTACTGAGAGAGGGGGCGAGACAGAAGTCAGGACACGACGGCCTGCGAGGCGTGCCAGCGTGCATCCCTGCTGAAACGCAGACCCTTCAGGGCTCCGCCCCGTCTCCCCCGCATCCAGCAAATCGCTTAGCACGTGAACCTGAAACGGCTGTCCTCAGAGAATATTTAAAAGGGCCCAGCTTCTGTCTCTAGTTTCCAAGGTGGCAACAGGGCGTTGAGAGTGACTTAGAGGGGGCACTTTTAACACTGTCTGCGCTTGAATTCGCTTCAACAGATGCGCAGGATTCAATGGTGGAGACATCTGACAACCCCCCTTTGCTACGAGAAAGGGGAGGTAGCCCAGCCCAGCCACACCAGGCACGGGGCATACCAGGCCAACCTTCTAGCACTCTCAGTACTTGGCCCGTAGCTCCTGCTCCATCCCTCTCCTGGATGGGTAAAAGCTCCGACTGTCTACATCTAAACAGTTACACACAGGACTCAGGATGGTAGGTTGTTCCTTAGGTTTTAGCTGGAGTTAGGGACAGTAGAACTCAGCATGAGAGGGATCCAGTCCCTTCAGCAGTAACTTCCAACAGGGGGGGAAAAAACTAAAAAAAGAAGATAAAATTCAGGCTGGGGTGCCAGAGTTCCTCAATAACACCATTAACGTCTGGTTTGTGAGGGCCCTGGGGTGTGGAGGGGCGCCAGCGCTCTCTGCTATGGAGCACAAAGCTCTGCCCTCCATCCTCACGAAGCAAAAGCGGGGGACGCTGACCTTTTAGTGGACCGGTGGTTCAAATGGAAGACATTATCTCAATGAACACAATGGACCTTGTAACTCACTAATTCCCTGTAAACAGGCTCCCTGTACTTTTCTTTAAAAAAAAAAAAATGCTTTTATTGATTTTAGAGGGAGAGATAGAGAGAGAAACATCAATCAGCTACCTCCTGCCCCCCTATTGGGGATCGAGGCCACAACCTGGGCATGTGCCCAGACTGGGAATCGAACCAGTGACCTCTTGGTTCATGGGTCGATGCTCAACCACTGAGCCACTCTGGCTGGGCCTCCTTGTACCTTTCTGAGATAAAAAAAAGTCTAGTACATTTAGCTTGTAACACTGAATCTCTGGCCAGGACGGCGGGTTCCAAAGGCTCTGGCCTGGAGCCCCATGACAGAGGCCCTTCCTTGTGCTCCACAGTGCTTCTCTGTCCCCACCAAAGCTCTTCTGGGGTTGCCTCTTTCCTTGCCTGCCTCTTCAGTCCCTCCACCCCCTGGGCTTCAGGAGAAGAGACTGTGCCTGGCTCATCTTTGTAGCCCCAGCACCTTGTATGGCTCCCAGGGCCTAGAAGGCCCTCAGAAATACATGCGTAATGAACAAGTTCAATGTCACCGTCTTCCCTCATTCCCACTGGAGAACCCGTCCACCCTCCTACACCAGCCTGGGCATAGATGAGCCTTCCTTATGCCAACCTGCCAGCCAGTGGCCTCCCCACAGCAAGGCTGGCTGGTGATTTGCTGGCAGAACTGGGCAGCTCAGAGATGGAGGCAAGTGCTGGACCCTCCTCTCGCCCAATTCCCTCCTGATGGGGAAGCTGGGGCCCAGTGTTAATGCCGTGATTCCAAGCTGGGGGGACATCCTGTGCACCCCAGGGAAGAAAGTCTCCTGAGAGAAACAATGAAATGATGCTTTGTTAAAAGTTCTTTCCTCCTCTCCCCACCCAGCCAATGTGGCTCAGCTGGCCGAGCGTCATCCCATGTCCAAGAGGTTGCCAGTTCGATTCCCCATCAGAGCACATGCCCGGGTTGTGGGCTTGATCCCTGGCAGGGGGCGTGCAGGAGGCAGCCAATCAATGTTCCTCTCTTATCAATGTTTCTACCTCTCGCTCCTTCTCCCTTCCTCTCTCCCTAAAATCAATAAAAACGTATATTTTTTTTAAAAGTCCTTCCCTCATGCAATCTACGTACAACCCGATTTCACGGAGCAGAGACCTTTCCCCGGCTCTCCCTGCGGGCAGGTCCTTCCCCATCAGCAGAGACATCTCTAGACAGTCTCATTGTGGAGCAGGAGTTTCAGTTGTTTGCTCATGGCCCCAGATAATTAAAAAAATATATACTTATATATATTTTGGCTTTTAGGAAGGTCAAATCATGCTAGGGAAAGAGATTTCCCCTTCCCTGATGGTTTTAATCAGAAATATGAGCAGAACTGATCAAATCTGGGAGCAGCGTGTACTCTGCCTAAAAAGGTCAAGACCTTCCTTTCATGAAACAGAAGCTGTCCCCTGAGGGGGCGGAAGGAGACACTGAGTCATTCACCGGGCCTTCCTCTCGCCTGCAGAAACGGCTCCTTTTGGAGCTTATCCAGAGTCCAACAGACAAGCAAGAAAATGACAGTTTGTTTAAGAAATGAGGGGAACAAGCCAGGGCCTGGATGAGTTCGTTTGCCTCAAGGTGTCGGAGGGAGCAGGTTTGCAGGCCTGGCCTGGCGGGGCCCAGTCTAACGGGCGGACAGTAAATCATCCCCAGGGGACTTGTGCTGAGGCGCTGCATAAAATCTGCAGGCTCCCATGTCGCCGAGTGTATGCTTTTGCTTTTTTTCTCCCCTCTAAGCATAATTCACATCTGGCAATATGCTTTAACACTGATCTTTGGGGGGGCAAATGGGAAGCAAGCAAAAAGGTCCGTGATTAGCTCGCTGTGACCGAGGGGGGCGTCAGAGAAATTCCACCTACTTCTTTTTCACGAGGCAAATGATGAGTCCCAGGGCAAACAGCAGAAAGGCGACACCTCCCACCACAGCAGTGAGGACGACCGTCAGGTCTGTGAGCAGAGGCACAAGGAGAGAGTGGCGGAGACGCACGGGGTTAGGTCTGTGATGAACTTGAGTACACAGCCTCCAAAGATGACCACCACCCATTCCTTCCCTCCCTGTATGCACATGCTGCCCACAGGGGCCTGAGTGAATGAATCCCGAAAAGTCCAGCTTGGACCAGAATTGCCCAGCCAACATGTGAGCAATAATAAAGGCTGTTTTTAGGCGACTGAGTCCTGGGGTGCTTTGTTACGCAGCATTACTGATGCAATCGCTGATGGATACATGGACAGCCAGGACTCAACTCTGTGTTTCCTGACTTCCCTCCCAGGCTTGTTCCTTCCCCCTCAGCCACCAATTTGCTCTCCATTACCATCCCCGAAAAACCTTGAAGGCCCTCACCTGTCGTTCTCAAGGTCAGCGACACCCGGAAGAGCAGGTCCAGCTGCTTGCCACTCGCAGGGCTGCAGTTGGAGATGTTGACCCAGAAGTTGCGATGGTAGGAGCCCGGCTTGGGGAGCACCTCCTCCAGGCTGAAGACGTCCTCAGCCTTGTTCTCCTGTTCCTGGATGATCATGAACGCGCGCCCCGTCTGGCAGACCAGGTCAGTCCGCTCCTTCATGAAGGTCAGGCAGGCCACCTGGTCACCGGGCACGCTGATGTTCCAGGACACCGAGGTGAGGGGCGGCATGCCCCGCTCCCAATTAGGGGTCCTCAGGTAGACCTTGCTTTTCAGATCTGGGGTCACTGTGAAAATGCCTTCCTCTGCAGGAAAGGGAAGACAAGACACACAGGCCTTTCACTCAGTGAGAACGGAGAGGAAAACTTGTGGTGGAAGAGATGACAGTAAGCTGTCTAGACAGAGTCCGACGGAGCTTTCTGCGATGGCGATGCTCTTTATCTGCACCGTCCAATCGAGTAGCCCTGACCACACGTGTTTGCTGAAGACCTGACAGGTGCTCAGTGTGACTAAGGAACAAAATTTTTAATTTTCTTTGCTATTAAATTACATTGAAATTGCCACATGTGACCAAGGGCTGCTGTATTGGTCAGCATAGGATTAGAGTCTCAGTCAAATTAGGTGTTCGGGCCTTTTGAGGGGGGAGAGCAAAACAAACAAACGAGAGACAGGCCAGTTTGCCAAACTGGTGGTTATCTCAGCTTCCTTTCAGAAACGCCCTGGACGTTTAATACCTAACATTCATCTGTGCCCCTCAGTGGGACAGGTAGGTAGACACCGATCTCTGTTTCTGAGATTAAAAAAATGTCCAGTCCTGGCCCCAGCCCGGTGGCTCGGTTGGCTGGAGCATCAACCCCTACACCAAAAAAAGGCTGCGGGTTCAATTCCCGGTCAGGGCACATCCCCTGGTTGCAGGTTCGATCCCTGGTGGGGGCACGTGCGGGAGGCGACCGATCGACGCTTCTCTCTCACATTAATGTCTCTCTCTCCCTTCCTCTCTCTCTCTAAAAATCAATAAAAAGCAAAAACCCCAAAACCAAATGAATGAAAACCCACCCAGTCCCGGGAAGAATTCTGGAACTGCAAAGCAGAAAGGGCCTCCGACACGTGAACTGATCTATTCCTGACCTCTGGGTGAGACAAACCCCCACATTCCACACCGGTGAGTTTCTTACTTTCACAGACTCCCCTGAAGGAGTTTCTCCGATAGCCTGGGAGATACCCAGCAGCCTGGACTGACGTTAATCTTATGGCCAAGGACTCTCCTCCCCCACACTCATGCCTCTGAGAACAAAAGTGTGAAGGAAGCCTCACATGAAGCCCTTGGTCAGTATTAAAATGGCTCTCAGGTTGAGCACTTTGTGATGGTGACATAAAATCCGTCCTGCGGAGTTCTAGAATTCACTTTCCTGACCAACTTAGACCTCATTTCCTGCCTGGGACACTGAGGATCAGTGTGGCCTCCCAGGAGAACAGGACCCTCGAGTTCTAGAACCTCCTCTCTACCAGTATTCCTTCCCTACCGCATTCTGGATTCTCAAAGCAGAATCATAGGAACGTCCGCAGAAGGGTTTTTATGTTACCACCTTAAAAAGCCAGGACGCAGGAACATGCGGGCGGTTACTTCCAATTTATGCTCCGCCTGCTTCCAAGAAAGACTCGAATCTGATCCCTTGTTTCGCTGCCACCCACCGTCGCCTCCCCCGCCAGGGGGTCTTATTTCTAACTCTTGGGATTTTCAACGCCAGGTGAATGCGAAGTCAGGATCAGCCTGTGCGAGGACCACCCCCCCACTCAGCTATCTCTCTTCTTCAAAGTGACACCTTGAGTCAGACGATCACAAAAGAAAAAAAGACGAATGCCCCAAAGGGAGAGGCCTGGAGACAAAGAGGGTGAAAGATGCCCTTACCTTTGAAGTACGGTATGAAGGACACGGTCAGGCCCTGCCTGGAGACGTCCTGCCGGAAGTTGGGGGCGTAGGTGCGCAGGGTCACCGAGACGTTCTGCTTCACCCGGATCCGCTCGATGGAGCCTCCAGAGCAGAAGTAGCCGAAGTAGAGGTCCTGGCCCGGGCTGGGGTCGGCGCTGGCCACCAGGTAGCTGAAGCTGGTGTTGCAGATCCGCTCCTGCGTGTGCTGCTGCAGCTTCTGGACCGGCACCAGTGCCAGGCTGAGCCTGTCCTTGGGCACCAGCAGCTTCCAGGAGAAGTCGTGCAGCTCCACGGGCAGCCGGAGGATGTCCCCGGGCACCTGGAGGGAGTAGGACTTCCTGTGGCAGTTCCGGTGGTCCATGCAGCCTGGAAAAGAGGGGGTTCGTGGTACCTCGGCGGGGAGGGGATGGCGCTCCGGTCAGCCCGAGGCTCCCTGGCTTTTCCCTTGGCCCTCCCTCCTCCGCTGTCGGCCACTCCAGCTCCGAATGCTCCCTTTCTAGCTCCCCCTCCTGCTCTCTCATATTCTTCCTAACCCGGCAGACCGGCTTCGGGGGAGTCTTTAGGGTTAAAAATGTCTCTTGTTTATTAGGTCCTTGCCTCTGTGTGTCTGTGTTTTAGACGCTAAGTGCCATGTGGGCAGGGCACAGGTTTTCCCCACCCAGGCCTGTCGCCCAGTGTCCCCATCTATGGGGAGGCAGTTCTGCAGAGTGGTGACGGCAGGGAGTGGAGCTGGGGAGATCTCAGCTCGCATTCCAGCTCTGCCACTTCCTAAGGGGGTGGCCTCGGCAGAGACCGAGAGCATCCACGTCAGAGATCATGGCGGCCCCGCGGGGGGGGTGACATGTGAGCGTGGATGCGGGTCACACACTGCCCTTCTGAAGGATGCATGTTCCAGCTGAAGCTGCCGGTCCCAAGGGAGGCGCGTCTCCGCCTCGTGCTTTGCTTCTTGGTTGCCCTTGCTCACCCTGCACTGTGGGGGACATTTCTGGTCATACCAATTACAACCTACCCCACCAAGAAGACAGGGCAGGAAGGGGAGAGGTGCCCATGGCCCGGGAGGAGGGCACCCACCACAGGGCGTACCTATGGTCTTCTCGGCGTTCATCCACAGGCGGGTCAGGTCATCGCAAAGGAAGGAGATCTTGTGTTTGGAGCCAGGTGCCAGGGTGAGGTTGGTGCTGCAGGTCCGAGACTCCAGACACACAAAACAGCCGGGGACAAACCTTCGGCCCAGCTTCACGGGCCTCGGCTCGATGGTGAGCGACATGGCGCGCTCGTTGCTCAAGTCAACCACGTAGGTGACATCTGGAACCACACAAAGAAAACAGGCGTGAAGAGCAGGTCGGCACCAGTCAGCAGCAACCCTGCGATGACCATATTGTGAGAGTGGAATCCTAAAATGTGTCAATGGACACACATGCGCGCACACACACACACAAGTGTATAAAGTTATGTCTTCTACATAATTATTGTGAATTAAAAGGAATCTTGGAGTCAGGCCCCACGTGGGTGTCAACGGGGTATTCCTAAGGCAGCCTCTTGAGTGGATCCTACAGGGTTCCGGTTCAGATGTTTTTCAGCCGTATAAAAATAAACAGCAGCCGGGTCCGGCGTGGCTCAGCGGCTGAGCATCGACCTAGGATCCAGGAGATCTCGGTTTGATTCCCGGTCGGGGCCCATGCAGGGTTGCGGGCGTGCAGGAGGCAGCCGATCAATGAGGACTCTCTCATCATTGATGTTTCTGTCTCTCTCTCCCTCTCCCTTCCTCTCTCTGAAATCAATAAAGATATATGTAAAAAAAGAAACAGCATGCCACTCCGCACCCCCACTTAATTTTCCTGCCTGGTGCTGCCTACTTCCCGGACGTAAATGAGAAAACAGGGCCGAGAGTCAGCCCTCTGGACAGAAACCATCCTCAGCAGGACAGAAATGTCCTGACCACCCGTCACACTTGCTCCTTCATGGATTCCAGATCACAGATGAGCCCCAGGAGCAGCCACTCTGAACTCATCTGGTACATTATCTAAAAAGCCGCACCACAACCTTCACGACCAGGTCTCGGGTGAGGCAGGCGAGGCACCCAGGGAGCCAAGTTTAAGGAGGCGCTCGCTCTCGGGCTGACCTGGACTGATGCCTTTATACGGGTGAGCACCCGAGGGGGCGCCTCCTGAAATGCTGCATCCTGGGCCCTCCGCCTCCCCAGTCCCGGCCTGACTTCCCTTCTTTAGGTCCGTGGCATCTTCATAATTGCGTGTGGCATGAAGCATGACCTCAACCTCACCAACCTGCCTGGGGTTCAGTATGGTCCACGGCAAGCTCTGGGTTCTGAGCTTGCTCTGCTCCTGACAAGCTGTGTGAGGTGAGGCTAGTCCCATAACCTGCCTGAACCTTCTGGTTCCTCAGCAGTAAATGAAGATAATTCCTGCCGCCCCCTCCTGGGCTGTTACAAGGACTCGCTGGGACAGATAAGTGGTGTGCCTAGCGCCGGGCTTGGCATACACAGCTGGGGGGGGCGCTCAGCCAATAAACGTCTTATCACCATCATTGCTGACGGTGTGGCGACATCTCGATCCCAGTGTAGGGTCAAGACGCGATGTCTAGAAGGTAACCTTCCAATGCCTTCATGAACAACAACACAGCCCCTGAATGTAAGTTCGTGTGCTTCCCGCTGTGTTAAAACGGGCCGCGTGCCATGCGCTCGCCGACGAGCCTGTCCCACTGCCTGGCAACGCCCTTCCCGCAGCTCTTCCAGGGTCCGGAGTCCAGGTGGCCCTGAAGCCACCGATGAGAAACAGGAAGGGAACGGTGACCCAAACAGGCTAGCCGGGAAGGAAAGAAGGTGCTGGGGGAGGAGGGAGGGGAAGGTGGCCTCACTTACTGCTTTCGTTTTGTGGATGTTGCACCAAAACTTCGAACTTCAGCCGGAGGGTCCCTGGATTTTGGGCATCTTGGTCGCAGCCTTGCAGAGAGAGGTTGAAGTTGCCGGCCATGTTCCCGGGCTGCTTGTCCGCCAGCTTGAACACCTCGGGGTTGGTGGTGGAGCCCGGGATGTAGTACTCAACCCGCTCCTCCTTCTTCTCGCAGTTGGAGACGTTGAAGTGGAGGAAGGAGACGCTGGCCCGCAGGTGCTGGGGAACGACGAACTGCCAGGTCATGAGCTCGTCCTCCGGGAAGCCGTCCGGGTAGTTGGCGGACATCAGGGTTGCTGAGCCTTCGCCCTCAAACACAGATTCGATGATGCACAGTCCTAGTGGGAGGGGAACCCAAACAAGGCGATTAGGCCCTGCCCTGGTTGTCCACGGCTGGGGGGCATGGGGCTGAGGAGCGGGGGAAGGTGGCGCTCAGGTCCGGAGACGTCAGTGGTGCTCGAGTCAACGTTTAACAACTGACTCAGTGCGGGGGGAGGGGGGGGGTCCTGATAAGTAGGCTCTGCCCATTTCCTTGATGTAAATATTCCCACCATAGCTGAGTTCAAGTTACCAGCGTGAGATGACTGAATGTGGACTTGGGAGAAGACAATCGGCCTAAACAACCCAAAGGGCACAGACAGCAGGAAAATGTAGTGAAATTAGGAGGCAATGCGTTTGGAGGGTTTCTGACCTTTGTTTCTAAACTCTTTTTTTTACTTGTAAGTTTATATCATTTTATTTTTATGAACGGCCCTGTTTAACACCAGCTCCCAAGCTTCCTTCATTTAACAATCAGCTCTTGTGAGCGCGTGTGAGCCAGCTCTGGCACACCACTGGTACCATTAGAGAAAATGTGAAACAGACAGAAGGCAGGGCATGCAACGGAGAGATCACGATAGATCTGGAGAATTAATCCTATTTCATTTCTTGAAAACAAACCTCACATGTGCAAAGAACAAAGAAAAGAGTCACCGCTGAGGTTAATAGAGAAGAGGGTCCACACCAGGCGTGAGCGGCCTGTGTCGCTTGCAGAAGAGCAGGAGCTCCCTGTAAGGCATTCAGGTCGAATCATGTGAAATTGCCGACACCTGGCCCTTTCTGACCTAGAGCAGCGGTGATTTTGTGTTTCAACCTCAGCAAATAGCGGGAGGGCATGGCGTGCTCACGTTTTATGGATGACCGGTTTGCGATGCTGAAGCTGGAGAAGTTTCTGTCGTGGAACCACGGCAAGTGTAAGACCACAGTGACACCCTCTTGCATCTTGATCCGGGACACGGTGCCGTTGCTGCAGAAGGTTCCGATCCTGACCGCCGTGGCATGGATGCGGCCACTGATGGAGTAAGTGACTCCGTCCGGGCAGCTGTCCCCTGGCCCGATCTGCCTCAGGCGAGGCATGGAGAACTGCAACTCCAGACCGATGCTCTTGTGAGCTTGGACGTCCCAGGTGAAAGTTCGGTTGAGGGTGGGCAATGCCGATATTGCAGGCTGCAGCTCAACCTCCCCAAAAGGACACAGGCCTGACATGCAATCTGAAACAGTCACAAAACAGTGTTCGTCACAAACGCTACCAGGCCACTCACTGCTCCTCCTCACATCTTTAGTAGACCCTCTGGGAGCACCATCAGGTGGGCACACCCATTTCCAGGTTGCCCACAGATGCCCCCCTTCTCTGGTGAGTGCCTTGCTGGGGGTGCCTCCTGGGGCCAGAAAAACCTGAACGGCTTCGCTGCCCATCCCAACAGGGAGCAGCAGCCCACAGCCAGTCACTGCTCATCGCAGCCGTGAAAAAGCCCGACCTCAACCTGTGGAAGCCGCTCCTATGCTGGCATCAGCCTGAGGCTACGCTTTAGCTGGAACATCCTTGCCCGGCTGGTGTGGCTCAGTTGCTTGCGCATAATCCCGTGTACCGAGAGGTCACCGGTTCGATTCTCAGTCAGGGCATGTGCCCGGGTTGTGGGCTCAGTCCTCAGTGGGAGGCGTGTAGGAGGCATCCAGTCTATGTTTCTCTCTCTCTCCTCCCTCTCTCTCTAAAAAAATCAATAAGAACATATTTTTTAAAAATAACAAAAAAAAACAACAACCCCAAACAGCTTCACGTCTTTGCTTATTCCTTTCCTTGCTCTCTCCTGCTTTTCTCACTTCTTCATAGGGTGCTTTCAAGGGTACTCTCTTGACAAATGACTTAAACAAAAGTCCCCGTTCAGGCTCTGTTTCCAGGGGGCCACACCCAAGACACCTCCTAACTTCTGTGTTTTCAGATGAAGTCACTGGAGTCCGGCAGGTGGACCTCTGCCCAGGCCTTCCCAGAAGTCAGAGGGAGGGCCTGCACTTTGGGAGCCACAGTTTCACAACTTTCGGGGCACAGTGCCAGGCTCTACCTTTTAAAACTGGTTTTCCCATCAACGCACTCATCCGCATACCGAGTACACTCAGAGCGGACAAGCCCCTTAATGGCTGGAGCCCGGAGGCACAGTTTCTTCCTGCCCCGTGGCCCTAATGCTCCGATTTTATTACCACGTGGGATTTTCTTAAGGCTAACAACTAATGACGTCCCTTGATGGACTTTGTTTCCTAAGCTTTTAAAACAAAGGCAGAAACGCTGCTGTGGGGAGGAGTAAGGGGAAAGCACGTGGGAGAGGTAGCTGGATGCAGGCAGCCCAACAGTAAGGCGTTGTCTCAGGCGCTGGGAATCTGAAAGGTGCGACGGATTCCGGCCACTTTAATAACAACCTGCGCATCTCCACTGCGGCTCCGGGGGGATATTTGAAAGCACTGCCAAGTCGAAATGGAATCGGGGAGCATTTCAGAGCTGGACCTCTGAGGTCACCCACGCCTCTCCTTTTTGCAAAGCGGCGCTGGAGCCCGGTGGACGAGCGTGGCGCTTACGGGGCGCACACAATCCCGGGACAGCCCAGGCTGTGTTTGCTCAACCCTTGTCCTTGCCAACGCCGCCTGCCACCTAACCCATGAAACAGGGTTAGATTACAAGGTGACAAATGTGACTAAAATTAGATCTTGTGTGTCAGTAAAGACAGGACCTATTTTTAGGAGCTCTTGCAGACTTCACTGCTCATATCAAGTCACCTCTTTCCTTTAAAAGCTGGCCTCGTAACTTTCTGTCTACACCTCCAACGTGCCCAGGGCCACATGGAATGGCTCCTGTTGGGTTTTGTGCTTTTGTGGGATCACTGAGCCCTTTAAGGCGGAGGTTCTCAGCCCAGACGCACTTGGAGGATGTTTTAAAAATACGCATGGCTGCCAGGCCGGGCGTGGCTCAGCGGTTGAGCATCGACCTTTCCTCTCTCTGAAATTAATAAAGATATATTAAAAAAAAACGCACGGCCTGGCTGGTGTGGCTCGGTCGGTTGGGTGTTGTCCCGTGCACCAAAAGGCTGCAGTTTCGATCCCAGGTCAGGGCACGGGCCTGGGTTGTGGGTTCGATGCCCGATCCACGTTTCACTCTCACATCAACGTTTCTCTACCTCCCNCCTTTCCTCTCTCTGAAATTAATAAAGATATATTAAAAAAAAAACGCACGGCCTGGCTGGTGTGGCTCGGTCGGTTGGGTGTTGTCCCGTGCACCAAAAGGCTGCAGTTTCGATCCCAGGTCAGGGCACGGGCCTGGGTTGTGGGTTCGATGCCCGATCCACGTTTCACTCTCACATCAACGTTTCTCTACCTCCCACCTCCCTTCCACTCTCTCTAAAAATCAACGGAAAAAATATCCTCGGGGGAGAATTGACATTTTAAAAGTACTGAGATTTTTCATTAAGGAACACAGTAAATCTCTACATTTACTTATATCCTCTCTTTTGTCTTTTGAGTAGAATTCTATATTTTGCTTCATAGACATCCTATGTATTGATTAAGATGATCCCTGAATATTTAACTAGAACTTCTGACTAACCAACAGCACGCATAGTGGGAACTCTTACGTTGTTTCCCGAGTTACTGGTAGCGCTTCTCTGTCCTATAGTTGAATATGATATTTGCTATCAGGTTTTGGTAGATTCACTTTATTGAATTAAGAAAATATCCTTCTATTTCTAGTTTACTATGAATGTATTAAAAACATGTAAAATAATCTATTAAGCTGACCACGTATAGTTTTCTCTCTCACCTAGTAGTGCAAAGCATTAAATTAACCAACTTGCTAAAGGTGAACTACCCTTACAGTCTTCCAGCCAACCCTCCCTGTTCTTGTTGCTTTCTTCTTTTAATGCATTTTTTTGGTCTTGCTATACTTTATATTTTATCTTATATTTTATAAGATTTTTTTTCATCTATAGTCATAACAGACTGGTCCACGGTTTTCTTTTTGAATGCCTTGGCAGATTTTGACATCAGGCTTGTAAGAACCTTATAAAATGAGCTATGGAACATCCCTTTCTGCGCTCAGAATGGGAGCTGGCAGCCTGCAGCCCACGAGGTCGATCCAGCCGAACGCCTGTTATTGTAAACAAAGCTTCCCTGGAACATCCGCTGCCTGTTTGCTTGTGCTGTGATAGCGCAGCCGAGGAGCTGTGACAGAGGCCGTCGGACCCACGAGGCCTCAGATGTTTACTACCGGGCCTGTTACAGAACAAGCCTGCCAGCCCTCCCCTAGAATGGTCTGAATATCGCAGAAATTACCTGCTCCTTACAGTTTTATAGGATCCCCTATGAAACCATCTCTAACTGACCCAAACCCTGCTCTCCTCCATCTGGGCCATTTTCCGAATCTCCTCCATTGTTATTTATTTATTCAGCTTTCCTACCTTTTAGGAGTCAACCCGACCCATTAAGTTTTTCCTGAAAATCACTGTCACTCAGATTTTCACACTGAACATGGCAATGTTGTACACAGTCTCCAACGCTTTTAGAAATCGCACTTGTATATGTCATTAAACCCACGTCTATGCTCTGAATGCTGTATATTTTTATTTTCTCTCTCTTCGGAGACCAGCGAGAGATTTGTCTAAGTAATTGGTACTTATCGAAAACCAGGTCTTGCTTTTTAGTCATCAAATGTAGTTTTAAAACTGCTTGTAAGGGCTTTACTTTCTCCTTTTATTTCCCCAAATCCCTTCTTCCTAAGGGCTATTTCTTCCTTCGAGATCTACCGCCTGATTCACTTATTTTCAGTTAAAGGCAAAGAGGTTTTCCGAGTACGGCTCTGATGAGATCACAGCGCGGCCGGTGCTGTCACCGCCCCCCCGAAGCCACGGGGAAGTCACACACTTGCTTTCTTCTGCCTGATTGTTATTTCTCATGTCAATTTCCTACCCCAAGTTCAAGTTCTGCGTACGAATAATACCGAACACCCGTAGCTTGTTCAATTCTTATGTATCAGCCCAGTATTTTCTTTCACCCTCCTAACAACCCTATTGGTTGGTACACTCAATGACTCCTATTTTTATAGGCTAGAAAACTAAGTCAAAAAAGAGTTAAGGCCCTGGCTCGGTAGCTCAGTTGGTTAGAGGGTCATTCCTTTACCGAGGTTGTGGGTTTGATCCCTGGTCAGGGCCCATACAAGAGTCGACCAAGGAATGCACGAAGGAGCGCTCTCTCTAAAACCAGTAACTTTTTAAAAAAAGTTAAAAAGGGAATTCAGTAACTTATATGAAGTCACGTGATCAGGTCACATAATCAGCAGCCCTGGGGCTTGAAGCCAAAACCCAGCTCCCTCAGCCCCCAAAGCTGCTCTGCTTTCCCTTGGGCCCGTGGGCCCACTTCTCTATGCTTATGTCCTCGATCTTGCATTTCTCTTGCCCTCCAATCCCTTCACTTTTGCCATCACCAGCCAGGTGTTTTTAGCACATGAGACTGAGCATCACACACCTGAAGACCTACGGCTCTGCTCAGCGGTCGCAGGCCAAGGCTCTGGAGCCCGGGGACCTGGGTTCTGGCCCTGCTGCACCATCTCAGGCAAGTCACGCTCTGTGAACTCCCCCAGGGCTGCCCGGAGGGCTAAGCAACTGAAGCTGCACCAGCCGCTTATAGGGCTGAATAAAGGGCAGAGTTTCAAAGCAAAGCCTACCCCCCAGCATTACAGGCTGGCCGCCCAACAGCCCACGAGTGCGTACTTACCAATATTCTTCTGGATCTCAACGACAAAGTGATTCTCTGGATTCTGGCAGCCAAAGATAAACTCCTTTCTTTCTCCGGATTTGATGTGCAGCATGGTTACGTATTTTCTGGAGGAGAACATGTAACAGGGCTTCGGCGGCAGAGGGACGGGCCCCGGCTTTATGAGGACTGACATGCTGCTTCCACGGGGCAGATCGATCACGTAAGCTTCGGAAGGAAGGGAGAGAAGCGGAGTGAGCACGCTGACCTAGGTCTGCAGACCTGCTGTCTCCCCCTCAGTTGGTCCCGGGAGGGTGCCCCCTTTGACACCTTTGGTCCTCGCCACCCCTGAACCCCCCACCTTAGAAGGGGGATGATATACAATGACTGGGCCCCTGTGGGCTGGGCATTGGCACATGTCTCTGGTTCCGCTTATACATTTTTCTTAAAAATCAAAACTGCTACACCACATCCTTGATGGCTCAAGCTGTCTGTTATCAGATAACCCATCTGTATCAATAATAATTAAATAACAACTAATCAGAGAAATGGTCACGTTTTTTCTCAATATGACTGCAGACCGAAGTCCACACACAGAAACTGACTGTTTGTAGAGGGACATGTTTATCTACAAAGAGCTGCTGTCTCCAGCCCTGGGTGCTTCACAGGCTCGGTACATACATACACACGTAGATACATACATGCATTCATGCGGTAGTGGAGGGTAGGAAAAGTTTTACAGAAATGAGATATAAACATATTGTGTCAACACACTTGAGAAGTTAGAGCAAAATAATGCTAATACCTCAGGGTGGGGCCCAGCCAAACGATCTGAACAAACGAGACCAAGGTGGTGAGATGGGGGCTGGTTATTAAACAGAGGTGTGTGCTCCAGGCAGGAGGGGCCCTGATTCGTGGACAAGCACAGTTTCTTTCCCATTCCTCTTGCTTTATCGATCTTTAAGCCTTCTCGGACTGAGAGGAAAGAACCACGCTCCTCCTTGGTAGCCACTTGACTAGGGTCCTGACTGTGGGGCTCTGGGCGGCAGACGCCTGGGAGCAGCGCATGAAGGGACGATCGTCCCCAGGTGGGTCCTCTGGAGGGAACCCAGGGGCTCACAGAAACCTTGGGGTGCAGTTGGTGCCTCTGTCCCACCATGTTCTGGAGCAAAGAGATGGTCAGTACCCCTACCCCCCAGCCCCCCCATCAGGCCAGCACATCCGAGTGCCTGATGTGTATTCTGTCATTTAAAGAAAATCCCAGGAACTCGGTATTTCACTGCCGTACTATTACCCAGGTTCACAGACACCCAGACAAAGCTCCACATTCTGGTGCTGTCTGGAGGCCTCGGCGGTGAGAGGGATCTCAGTGGACCCCGCAGCAGCAGCAGCAGCAGCGCTCGGAGCACTGGGGCCACGGAATGTGTGTGGCGGCCACACTCGGGCCCACGAGTCACAGCTTCTCTTCACTCTCCTGCCTCCCGGCCTCTCCTTATTAGGAGACCTTCACCAGCTTCTGCCTCACTCGCAATCATTTTCACCACCATTCATTAATCACCATTCATTAGTCCCTGTACACACGCTATGCAAATGCCCCGTAATTTCTCCTCCCTGCCACTGTATTTCTTTGCAAGGGAAACAAATGCAAGGAAGGGGATTCCACCAGATAAACACCAGGGACGCTATTTGCTCCCAGATTTGTTAAATACAGTTTTAAAGACTAACAAATGTGATTGAAAATGTCTTTATGTCTTAGATGGGGCCGAACCAGCTGCTTCAAATCTGGGTGTGGTTTCCTGGGAGGCTCGGGTCTCATTCATTCTGTCCGATGAAGGTGAACCGAGCATCTCCCAGCCAGAGGGAAACAGCCTGGGCGGCAGGAGACATACAGGTGAAGACCGAGGGTACCCTGGAGGAGTGCGCGGGGTGTTGAGGGCGACAGACGCAGGCCAAGCAGCATAGCCGTGAATCAGCAGGCCTGACCCGTCACAGCCTGCACGGGAGTCCGACTGCACAGCAAGCCCCTAGGGGGAAATCACTTTGGCCAACCCAGCCCTGCCTCCTCTCTTGGGAAGACGCCACACTGCAGACCGACTCCCCTCTCCCAACAAGCTCACCAGCTGTGGCCGGGTTTGCTCATCCGTGAAGCAGATCCCTGCTTCTCAAACTGAGCACCAGACAAAATAAATAAACCGTGGATGTTCCCTTCGGGCAAGGGACGCTCACATCACGGGAGCCGGAGGAAGTGACACCAGCTGCAGGGGCGGTGATTCATCCCTCGACCTCACAGCCACCTAGTGGGAACACTCACGCCGTTTACATGATTTTCTCCTGCTTTTATCCCCTGCAGGAGCAACTGCCGAATTCAGGTCAGTTGAATGTTCATTTGTCTGTCTGTCTGTCTCAGCAGACCCCACCTGATAGCAACTTGAAGGAACCAAAGGAGGTCAAGGTTCTCTGAAGACACTGAGGGTCAGCTATTAACACTCCAGGGGCAGTGGTCAAGGAAGGCTTCACAGAGGAGGCGTGACTTAAGACGGGTCTTGGAAGATGAGTAGGAGTTTGTCAGCCAGGGATAGTGAGATGGGTGTCAGGAAGGATAGGTGGAGGGAACAGCAGATGCAAAGACACAGAGGTAGGAAGAACATGGCTTCCTGGGAGCGACTCCAGGGAGTTTGTTTTGGCCAGAAGCCAAGGAAAATGTGGGTCAAGGAGGCTGGATACAGAGGCAGGGTCCAGGCTACAGAGGGGCTTGGTCGTTAGCCAGAGTTGGGCTCTACCCAGTGGGACCAGCATATCTCAGCAGCTTAGGGTGGTGGTTAAGAGCTTGGATTTTAGAATCTAACTGGCTGGGGTCGATTCCTGGTTCTACAATATACTAGCTGTGTCCCCCTGGGTAAGTTCCCTAGGCAAGTCCCCTGGGGAAAGTTTCTTTGTGCCTCAACTTCCTCATCTGCAAAGGGAAATAATAATGGAATTGATGTAAGGACTATAGGAGTTAATACCCGTAAAATGCTTAGAACAGTACCAGGAGCCAATCAGTGTCAGCCGTTATTGCTGTTGATATTATGAATGAGAGCATATTACAACTACTAATGCCGGTGGGGGGGCAGCATTCCAGGATATGAGGCCGGGAAACAACTGGAGCAGCAGCTTGGCTCTCAGTCTAAGGCCCAGAGTCCTGGCTGGCTGGGCGGGGAGGACGGCGAGGCAGGGAAGGCACCTAGGGGCAAACTTTAAGGAGGCACTCACTGTCAGGGTTGCGCAAGCTTGGGTGCCTCCTTAAATTTTCCAGCCTTCCCTGCCCAGCCCTGCCCCCCCCCAAGGCCTAGTCTATGTTGAATCAATATGCATTGACTCATGTGACTTCAGCACCTCTTTGAGGCTCACAGAAGTGACCTCACTTCCCATTCGCTGAGCTCAGGAGGCAGCTGGGATAGTCTGGTCTGACCTCAGCACCCCTGCCCTCTCCACTCCCCAGGGAACCACACCGAGCTGCCCTCCTGGAAGCTGCCAAGGCTAATCAAATCAACCAGCAGAAGGGGAGGGAGTGCGTGGAGTTGTTGGCCGACACCAGGGCCCGGACAGCAGCACCGACATAACCCATTTAGTGGGACCTGCTGTGGGGAGGAATGTCAGACTGTTACACTAGCACACGCGGAGTCTTACAATCCAGGGGACCTGGGGCAGCAAGGCCTGCAGGCAGCGGGGGGACGGCTGATTTAGCCACCCTAAATCCACTTGGCATTGACTTAGCCAGGTCTATTCACAGGCTGATACGCGGAAGTGAAGGTCTCACCAGCGGCAGGAGGCCCACCCATCTTCCCAGCTGGAAATAGTTCATTTCCCGCATTCATAAAAGAGAACCAGCCAGGCTGGCGTGGCTCAGGGGTTGAGCATCAATCTAGGATCCAGGCGATTGTGGTGCGATTCCCGGTCAGGGCACATGCTCAGGTTGCGGGCTCGATCCCCAGTGGGGGGCGTGCAGGAGGCAGCCGATCAATGACTCTCCCTCATGATTGATGTTTCTATGTCTCTCTCCCTCTCCCTTCCTCTCTCTGAAATCAATAAAGATATATTTAGAAAAAAAACCACATAACTCATGGGTCTCTCTTGGGTAGGAGCCTTTGAAATCTAGACACCAGGCCTGCCTGCATAATAACTACAATGAACACTCGATGAGCACTTCCTGTGTGCAGGCATTTGATAAATATTTATAAATAGCCACAATTCCATAGATACGAATATTAATATCTAATATGAATCCCCATTTCACAGATGAAGATACTGAGGCTAAGTAACTTGTCCAGGCCTAAAGATTAACATGAGGCAGGGCCAGGTTTTGTGCCTGAGCAGTCTGACCTTGGAGCCCAGCACCTCATAAATAATTGTTCAGTGGAGCTGGCCCTGCCCAAGGAAGTCCACAGCCAGGAATTTTTTGATGAGAATGGTCATTCTCAACAACAAAGTCAATCAAGCCAGAATAAAATACTTCCCAGAGGCTGGCTCTCCGGGAAACCTCCAGGGTAATCAAAGAGACAGGTGTTTGTTTGAAATGGTTAACTGGGCACACTGCATTAATGTAAACCCTTCATTTCAAAATAATTTGAAAGTGTAGTTTGAATTTAAAGTTCCCTGGAATTTGAAATGTTTGGGGTGCGGTTCTTCTTTTGTGCATATTTTTGGCAGTGTCTCAGTGCAGGGAACCGAGAAAGAGAACTGGCACTTTTGCTGGGGGGTGTGGCTGCAAGAGGCAGGTGGCTGAGTTGGTGGCAAAAAGCACTGGGTGTAATGGGCTAGTGCCAGGTCTTGGCAGAAAAGCATTCTGCAGATGGGGCTCACTTCTCCAGGCCACTGTGGGTGAAATGCATGGGCAAAACCTGACCTAAGTTTCGGAGAACTCCCCAAATCCCCACCTACCAAATTTCCTCTTCTTGAGTTGGGGTGGGAGACCCACAGTTTTCTTCAAAATAGTTTATTACTTCCACAGCTCTAGAGTGATCAGAAAGGACAGTAAAGTTCAAAGAGCAACGTTAAAAGGAACTAGGTCCTAGTCAACCCTACTTGTTGGAACAGGGGACTGTTATGCCCATCCATTCACTCCCTACTTTTAATCCTTAAACAATTTAGGAATGAAACTTATGTGCAATGATATAAATTTCTTATTTTCTAAAGTAACTGAACATCTGCAGCAGATGGACACATCTACTTGTATAATGTGTTAATATACGTGTAAATCCCTCTGGAACTGTGGCCAACCCATCACAC